TGTGTGAAATTGTGGGAATGCTTGTGTTGTAGTAGTGTGTCGTTGGTTAGACATTTCTGATGGGTTTTGCGCATTCTAACACTCCTAAGTGTACATGCAACCCTATATACCTTGGATCTATGTTTTCTCTATTATACATGCAATTATGAACTTTCCAAGGTATTACCCTATCTAGCATACAATACTTGATACTTGGGTAATCAAATGGATATAATACATACCTTTGTTTGATGTAGCTTGTCTCCATGAAGCTTGAGTGCCTAGTGCCCCAAGTGTGACACCTCAAATGGTTCACACAACACCAAATGCACATGGAATGACTTGAGAGAAATGGAACACTCCTTGAAATCGTCTAGCCCTCATATTCACACATTAGTGCACGATTTCTTGAGCCATGGGATTCTTTTATATGGTGGCTATTAGGGTTACACCATGTAACTCATAACTTTACCCATTCCTTATGCTCCATGGATTTTAACCTCCATGGAGTATCCATGGGTCACCCCATGGACTTAGTCCAACATAAGAAATCTTGGATCACAAGCCCACATATATAAGAATGAATGATTTACACAATCAACCCATATATTTAATTAGTCTCCTTTTGATCACTTAAGTAATTCCAAATTAATTCTTGATCAATACTAATTAAATAACCTTATTAATATATTAGAACTTATAATATATTAACCAACCTTAAGTGTTATTTCTCTCATTATAGTCTATCCAAATGCATGATGCCATGCAACCCAAATGGACCATGCCGGGTCGGGTCAAGTCTTACCAATTATAGTTATGGACTTAGACATTAATCCAACAATTTCTTGGTTGAAAGTTGAAGAAAACCCATCACCACCACTGTGAGGTGGTGGCTGCCACCGCGAACCACTGTCGACCACCACCGCCCGAGGTGGCGGTGGGTGGTGCCCGAGCTAATGAAACCCTAATTGGCATGTGTTGTGTTGGAAACCCTAATTAGGGTTTAGAAAACCCTAATCTTGGACACTTTTGTTTTGGACTTGCCGGGACCCGCGTTTTGGACCGTTGGATTGGAATTTTGAATTATGCCCAACCACATTGTATGATTGACCTAGTAGAGTGATGGACTTAATGGATTAAGTCCTTAATGGGTTAAATTTTTTTTACTTAACCCTAGTTTTCATTTTATGTGAAAACCCTAACTGAGTTTGGGCTCGAGTTGGGCCTTTTCCTTTGGGCTTAGGTGTTTGGGTTCTTAATGGGCCATGTAAGATCAAGTGTATGGACTAGGATATTTAGATGGGCTTTAGGGTAAGGCCCATGTAAGGGGTTTGGGCCCAATTTGGAAAATTAGGCCATAATTGGGCCTTGGTTGATTGTTTGGCTTTTGGGCCTTCAAAGTGTGAGTTTGGGCCTTGGTCTTGGACCAAGTTAGGTTAGGGGTAATATGGTCTTTTTACCCCAAGTATGGTTTTGTGGTTATGCATTGGAACCTAATTATTAATTGGGTGTTGTTTTGATGTTGACAGTTCGGGGATCTGTCAGCCAGCAGTGCGAGTTTATTCACGAGACTTCAGTAGTGCGAGGTGAGTCTCCTCACTGGGTCTAACGGGTCGAAGGCACCAATGTCGGCCCATGATTTATATGTTAGGATGCTAGATGTATGCGTGACTCTTGCATGTGTTATATTATGATATGCTTACCGGGCGAGGCCCGAACCAGGCGGGGCCTGATGAGTAGGTTGTATGTTAGTTATTAGTATTTGATTTAATGCTTAACAGGCAAGGCCTGATGCCGGGTGGGGCCCGATAGACTGCATGGTGTGCTATAGTCTTTGTGATTATTGCATGTGCTAGTATGGTTATATGTCTATATGATTATAGGGTTATATGGTAATGTGTGTATCGGGCAGGGCTGAATGATGGGCGAGGGCTGATGACTGGAACATATACTAGTCTTTGTGATCGTTTTATCGTCTTCGTGATCATTTTATATGTTAGCATGATTATGTGATGTTTTGTATGTGTGATGTCGGGCGAGGCCCAGTGACAGGCGGGGCTTGAGAATAACAGATCTGTAATCCGAACGGGGATCGATGCCGAGGGAGGCTCGATGTCGGGCGAGGCCCGAGGCCGAGTGAGACTCGAGATCGGGCGAGGCCCGATGGAGGGCGGGGGCCCAATATGTGATTTATGTATGTGTGGTATGTGGTATCTTGGGGAACTCGCTAAGCTTTGTGCTTACGTTTTTCAGCTCATGTTTCAGCTACTTCGGTTTTCAAAAGGAAGAACTCGGGTTGACTGCATGGCACGCACACTTTATGTTCCGCATTTGACTTGTTCTGGGATTTACACTCTGATTGTAATGTAACGGTTTTATTTAAACAAGTGATTGGTGATTTTTTCTATAAATAAAACGAAATTTTATGTCAATATTTATGGGATGTTTCAGCTTGAAGGTTTGACGAGTGGTCTCTATAGAAGAGACAATAGGTTGAATCGTGTCGGAGCAACTTCCAAGTAGAGCATCGAGAAGGATCTAATCTTGGCGAAACCATGGAATATAAGTCGGATTGGGCTTTGTGATATCAGTGGGTAGAAATTTTTGATGGGCCTCAACAGAACCATCGACATAGCTATCTAGACCAAGACCGATTAGAGTAGTTAGGACCTGTTTTCTCCAAACAGGGAAATTATTGGAGGTGAGTTTAATCGGAAAATGGGTATGTGCGGTGACTTCAACAATGATAGACATGGTGATCTAAAGAAGAAGAAGAAGAAGAAACAGAAGGGTCTTTGGATCGAAGGAAAACTTAGTGGAGCTATTTGAGGCTCTGATACCATAAAAAAGGTATGAAATTGAGATGAAAAGCATGAATACATTCAATAATTTACGTGCGTTATATAGGTAGATTACACAAAGGAAATAAGCACATTTACAAGAGATGACATAGGAGCTAATCTAGGGATTTGACAGTACATGTAAATATCTTTTGAAATATACACTATAGATATAAATGGGTTATTTTGACCCGGTGGATCCGGTATCCTTAATATTGACAAGGAATCGTTTGATCCAATTTAGTCTATGTTGTTTTGTAGATCCTTATGTCACTACTAGAAAACAACCTTTTAATGAAACAAAATGTGTGTCATAAATGGGTCAGATGACATGCAAATGCGTGTCATTAAAGCCCCTATGGAAAATGGCACGCATTTACGTGTCATTAAGTTATGACACACATTTTATGACACCCAAAATGCCTGTTATCTTCATTTATGACAGGAGCTTTCATATGACATGCATTTACATCACATAGTTACGATATATTTTACGACATGCATTTTGCATGTCATAAATTTAAGTGTTATTAAAAAATTTATTTTTACTAATTTTTAAATTGAGTGACAATTAACATCGAACAATACATAAATACATATATAACAAAACAATAAATTTCATCGAATAACGTCATATGTCAAAGAAGTTACCAAAAATATTGTAAACTACATGTCAAATGCTAAAAACATTTTAATGTAAAAAAAATATCACCAACATGAGATACATTTTTCCAACATAAAATAATAATATTCTAATTCCAATTCCAGCTGTAATTGGAACTCTATAACCATCCTCATTACACTTGGAAGCTTCCTAATAAATAAAAATCCAAATGCCACATGTGACGTTGTCCTTTAATTTGTCACATGTAATTTTCTCATAATTTTTGACTTATTTTTTCCACATGTGATTTGCTTATTGGTTCCATTTTATTTTTATTTGCTTATTGGTTCCATTTTATTTTTATTTGCACATCACTAATTAATTAATCTAATTCATTCTTAAAATAAGTCGGTATAATGTCATTCATAATGCCAACCTCGAATTCCTTACTTGCTTCTTTTAATCCGGAAATTCGGTAATTTGCTGTGGTGATACATTTTTGGAATGTTTTTAGATTTTGTCTGAAATAAATTTGAAATTATTATGTAAAATCCCAACTAAACAACAATAGAATTATCATAGCTTTCATTTTAATTTCATAAATACCATGCTATTTATTTCTTTACTTCAATACTAGAATGCTTCTTTCACCATAATTTAAAAGTACCAAAAGCCTTTCAATTTTTTTACCAGAATGGTAAATTTGTATTTTGGTCGAAAAAATTAACTTTTTTTTATATTTTTTTTTATTTTATGTTTCCTTATTTATTTCACATGTAACATTTTATCTATGTGAAATGGATATTGTGGTACGCAGTAATCAAAATGTACGACAAATATGATAAAAACATATAAATCTTTGGATTACAATCACTTTTTTTGAACTTGGTTTTTTGTCAATACCTATAATATCTTATTGATCCTCTATTACGTCTTTATTATATCAAATACCTTAAACATTTTTTCAAAACATTGTTTTATTTGTTTACTTTTGGTTTTTTATTAGTTAAAATAGAATAAGTATAAAAGTGAACTTTTAATGTAAATCATGCAAACACTCAACTTTGATGGACGGATTATACATATAAGATCATGTTTGTCGCATCATTAGCTAGAAGAAAACAAAAATTCATTTGTATGTTTGACAACACCTTATTAGATGGAATTAAACGTCTCTTGATGGACACTTGGGACACTATTATTTAATTAAATTTTACCCCAAACATATTTTCAATAATAACTTATTTGGAATAAAATGATTCTAAATGATTCTAAATCCATTTGGTATGATATAATAAAATAAAATATGAATAAAATAAACGAAGTAAATATAATGTGCAAAAGAATAAAACGAATTATTATATTTCATTTTCATGTTTGATTGGATAAAACTATTCATTCAAAGGAATTTGTTAACCTCATATTGATAAGCATTAGATTCATTTTATATTCATTGACAGTCTATTAAGAAAGTTTATAAGTTTATATTTAACTTTTTAATAAACAAATAAATAAAATAAAATTGAAGTTCAATGGCTGGGAAATAAAGATTGACACAAGAAAATAGATAGTGATTTTGCATGATAACCTTGGAGTTTTGCATGATAACCTTAGAGTTTTATAGTTCATGTTGACTACAAAATTTCTGAACAAAAAGACTATTATTTTTAGTTTCCAGACATACAACTCAACTGAAAAGCTCTAATAATAGGCCTCAATCGCTCGGTTATCTTGATGGTACCGAAGAGTATTGCCCTATATACAAAAACCATACCAATCAAGATTCCAAGATCAGTCCACTTGGAATAACCCATCTCAATTTGTAGTATATCCTTCAATATCATCTCACCATCCATGGTTGGAGGACCTCCTAAGTACTCCGGGAACTTAAGCCCTTCGAACTCATTTTTATACAATCCTTGTAATGCATACCTATGGAATGAAATATAGTACATGGGATATCTCCAGAATACATGAGGTAGATCGTTTGGCAACTGAAAAAATCCTGCACTTAGTATCATTAAGCCTTGGGTTCCCGCACCAGATATAATTCCCATTAGCAAATTTGGCACAATGGTAGCTACAATTATCATAAGGCATTCAACGAGTATCATTGATGTGAAGAGGACTAATGCAAAATAGATGAATTTTTCAGGTTCTCTCTGAAGTCCTACAAGAGAGTAAGCAATTACTCCTGGAATTAAAGAGATGAGAAGTAGGTATGGCATTGAAGACATGGCATGGCTGATTACAAATGATCCAACACCATAATGCCCATTTAATCTTTCCCATTGAAAGACCTACATAGTTACAACATATATAGTTGTTAGAAAATGTAATTACTTAAAGAGTTTTTTTTTTTTTTTTTTTTTTTTTTTTTTTTTTTTTAGAAACAAATGAAGTTAAAAAAATAAACCTTCATTTCCTCCACGAACGAGGGGAAACCACCAATTGCCAAAATGGTGAGGAAGCAAGAAACAAACATAAGCATTGATATCCTAGCCTGTGTCGTTTTGGACCAAAACATAGAGTTAATATATTTTTAAGTGTAGATGGTTTCTAAAATTTAGGAAATAACTTTTGGCAGACATAACTATTTATGCATATCAAATTTAGTTGTGTTATGTAATTCTTTTTCAAAATCAACAACAACAATAACGTTATCGTCACAACACAAAAACGTGCAAGCAGTACCATTTTTCTATCCTATTGTGTTACCATTTTTTTTTTGTTAGAATGACATCTCCCAAGCACGAACCAAATGCTTCCGACATATTCAATCTTTTGTTTTGGACAACCAACCAAATATTATTAGGCGGGTGATTATTTGCGTCACAAAAGATAGGTTTTTAGTATGAGATATATGCAAAAATATCCACACTTTTAAACTTGTTATACATTCGAATATAAAACTTACGTGTAAAGAGCCAAATCCAGAACCAATATTGTTGAAGACTGTTCCTACTGCAAAACCCAGAGCAATATATATACCAAGTCGCAACCAGTAGTATCCAATGTCACGATACATGTTTATAAATGATCTTTCTACAAGCACCACGCACTGTGTAATGGAACTAGCTTGCATGCTTCCTTTTTTCACAAGTGGGGCTCCGTCCTTGAAAATTACATTTTTCATTACCTCTTACTACATTAATTAATATACACTTTAGTCATACCAAAATCACAAGTACCATGTACCTGTCCACATATAGCAGCAATTTCGTGTTGGACTTCTATATATATCTCAGACGACTTGTAGGCTTCAGAAAGTAGGTCGATTACGTTCTCATCACCAGTCTTTCCACTATCAAGGTCCTATTACAGGGAAAAGGGAAAAATGTAAGTAATATCTACAAAATGTAAACTTGGTACTATTGATTATTTTTTCCGAAAATCAAATGTTGTACCAACAATCGTTTGTACATATAGTTACTGGTATCATACCAAAAATATTTGGTACCAAATATTTGGTACCAACTTGTATGACTACCAATAACTTTTGTTCATAGAAACTAATAATTATTTCTACTAACAACATAAACTAACTTTATTTAAATTGTTTTAACATAATATACATTTTTTAAATAATTTCTCATCATCATTTGTCAATATTTGATGTCCGTCCATATATGAACCTACATATTTTATAAACTATATCTTCATCATCTCTAAATTTCTAAAAGGTTTATAAATTTGGTCCCATCATTTTACTTATTTATTCCACCTATATTTTTTATATTGAATATTCCTAAAACAAAAACAAAATATTTTTATTTGTTATAACTTATAACGGGTACATTTAAACCATGAAGTAGATTTTTTATATAAACTACGAGATAGTAGTTTTTATCTTCAATATGGGTGTTGTTTTGAACATCGACAATAGTTTTTTAATGGAATAATTATTTTATATTTTGTTATATATTTTTAATAAATTAAATTAATATATTAAACTTCATATGATAAAAAATTAAAATATAAACAAAGAAGTGTGCATAATAACATTTAATAATAAGATTAAGGAGAAATAATGAATATTAAAATCAGTTCATCCTATTTTATATAATGGGCCGCCGGAGTATTTGAAGCGGTCCATGATTTTGGACCGCATTAAAGCCATGGAAATTGTGACCGAATGCACTGTGCAAGACATTTTCGTGGACCTCTTTATGTTAATTCAAACCGCAATTACTATCCCACAGGCCACTGTGGATGGTCTAAGTCTCTAATAGTCCAAAAAAGGGGTTTACTCAATATCAAACAGTATTTTATGGTACAAGAAAACAGAGATTATAATAAAAACAATGAAGGGTACCAAACTGAATCCTACAACTATGAACAAGTTAAAGAATACAAAGAAACTTGTAATCTTTAAAATAAAGCAGATCTTATATATTGGAAAATGATCTAGGAATACAAATATTATATATTCTAACAATGTCATCACTCATTTACTTTGAAGATAAAACAATGATAACATACCTCATGAAAATCAGTGTTGATGGTTCTTAGATAGTGTTCTGCGGGACTTTGTAAAGAGGGACACGGAAAACCATTTACAACAAAAAACTGATCATCAAAACAACAAAAGTAGTCAGCTTCATAAATTTATCATGTCTAATATTATAAAAAGATTTGTCATGGGCATAAGAAGAAGATATGTATAAAACCTGATTTGCTGAAAAAGTAGGACCAAAGTATATTGTTTTCCCCGAAGATAGAAGACAAAGATTATCAAAAAGCCCAAAAACTTGACTACTAGGTTGATGAATGGCGGCCAAAACCGTCATATTATATTGTCGAGTTAATTTGGCAATCTGATTCATGACATGGTATGATGCTGCACTGTCAAGACCACTAGTAGGCTCATCAAGCAACAGAAACTTGGGGTGTGTTAAGAGTTGTAAGCAGATGCTTAGACGCTGCTTTTGGCCACCACTAAGACCTTTGGTTCCCCATCCTCCTATTTTTGTGTTCAAAGCATCTTGAAGCCCCATCTCCCTTATAGTTCTATCAGCTCTCTCCCTCTTTTCTGATTTTGACATCAACTTAGGCAGTTGCAGTTCAGCTGAGTAGTAGACCGTTTCTTTAACTGATAGAGTCCATGTTAACGCTTGTTCTTGAGTCATATATGCCTAAACAAATTTACGGTCATGTGCACGTAAATGTAAACAAAAATCAAGAAATCGTAGCCCATGAACTTCAGTAAAATGGGTTAGAATCTTGAAGAAAAAAATGCAAAAGTTTGTGCTTCGTTTTCTTTCTTGAAAAAAGTTTCCAAATAAATCAATGCAAAAGTGGTTCGAGCTATAAAGGATTGCGCTCATACCATAGTACCATATGTAGGCCTTGTTTTACGACCATTGATTAAAACTCGTCCAGTGTGTCTTGCGTTTGAAGCCAACCGTCCTGTGTTTAAACAACAAGGAATACCCAAAAAGATTATTGTATATTAAATGAATAGACCTAGCTCATTATTTCTGCTCCGTACGATCGATGTAAAGTCTACAACAAAACTCTGATACATATTTATATCATGCTAAGATCCAAAAAACTTGCACAGAAAAAAATATATAACATGCATAAAATTTGTATTATATTTCCGTTCTAAAAAAACGGTTGAATTTAGATTTTTTAACACAAAAAGGTTAATGCTCTTGAAACGTTGAAGGGTAAAACGGAGAATTATATACCAGCCAAAGCATCAAGTAGAGTGGACTTGCCACAACCAGAAGGGCCCATAATTGCTAGAATTTCTCCTGGTTTAGCATAACCAGTGGCACCGGTAAGTATAACTTTTCGTCCATCTTTGTCGACATTTCCATTAGAGTTTGAAACAGCTACTCCAAGATTCTCCCATGTCAAATAGGCTCCACCCCCTCCTTTCTTCATCACAGTACTGGCCTTAGACTCCAGGATTTCGATTCCCCACTCTCCTTCTTCATCTGGTTCCGGACGTATACAGTTGTTATGAATCACGCTACCCATTTAATATCAAAGATGAAAATAGAAAGAGATCTAGAAAGAGGGAGAGTTTCAAGTAGTTGCACATGAAGTGAAAAGTGGATGGCTAAATATATAATAACATCACAGGAAGTCCTGTGGTAAGACAATAAATGACAATTCTCTAGATATTTTTTCTATTAATTAATTCTTCTGAGAGAGAGAGAGAGAGTATGATTTGTGTATATGTTCTAAAAAATGATTCATCTATGATTTATGTATTTGTTCTAAAAAAACGCTAAAAAGCCACAAGAACTATAAGCGGAAATGATACAAATGTCTTAAAAAGTTTTTAGTGTGGGTCTATTTAGTCCCTAAAGTCTTTTTGTTGCTTTATGAAGGAACAAAACTGTTTTTGTCGAGTTTATTAGGTCATTTTGGAAGTTTGAAAGGGGTAAGCCGGTTACCCCTTATGTTAAGCTCATATATTGTGCTCCACGTGTATTGTCTATGTTGGTTGGTGTTCCTTTCAACGACCAACCAATAATTAGAACAATCAGATTATGCTTTTACATTTGTGAGTGAGATACCGATGATCACAAACAAATATGTGAATAACTATGCAAAATCAAGTGACACCCTCGTTCTCATTTATTATCTCACACTGATGTGCTGCTTAATCACACATGCTCCATCAACAATTATAAACTCGAGTTGTCTCATTTTTTTCAACTTGTAGAATGTCACACCCCAAAACCGGAACGGCGGAAACGTTCAGGGGTGGAGGACGTCATTTACAGTATCACAACAATGCATAGTAGTAAACAAGCAACAACATCATCCATTGCATTAATAATATAATTTAATACAAGTGTGTTCTGTAAAGTTTAATAGACACCAAAAAGTAAATCAAAATATGAGATGAGTCTTGAATGTGCTCCATCTTCTCAAAAGCCTGGCATCGGTACCTGTCTACTGATGACCTGAGAATACAAGTTATTTTGAAAGAGTTTATCAGCTTTAAAGCTGGTGAGATCATAAGTATTTTAGTGTCATTGTTTGTATGAAAGTGTTTGTAAGTATGTGATGTATAAGCTTGTAATTGTTTGAAATCTCCTAGAAAACCCTATGTTTTCTACTAAAAGTAGCCTTCTACCAAGGCATCAAATGTTTGTATGAAAATGTTTGTATGTACTTGATGTATAAATTTGTAAATGTTTGTAAATGTTTGTATCTCCTAGAAAACCCTATGTTTTCTACTAAAAGTAGCCTTCTACCAAGGCATCAAATGTTTGTATGTGTATCTCTTGTAAGAGTATGTATTTTCCCAATTCTGACTATCATTAACCAAAAATATAGCTTTTGCATTACGGTTCATTGTGAGAAGATCACAAAGTGAATGCAATGGGGAAATAAAATAGTACTGTACTGTTGTATTAATTAACTACTGCTGTACTAACCACCTTAAACCAATTGTTATTTAAAGTACCATGTGATATGCATGTACCATACTACCGACTAAAAACACGACGATGAAAGACGTCGGAAGAAATGACATTTGGCACCCGTAGACTTGCAAGTCCCACTGTAGCGAACAGCAAGGTGTAGGATAGTCAATCCAGTATAGATCTATACACAAATTCAACGCTCTCTTTCTAAGAGACTCTGGATACAAAACGAGCCATGGCAGGTGATGCCATGCCCCGTTACGTGGCTCACATAACTGTTGTAGTGTTCTTGTATATGTATTGTATGTACTAGCTGTATTGTATGTTCTCTCTCTGTCTAGTATGTATGTATGTTCTCTCTGTATGTTATCGTTTGTTTCTTGTCACTATGTGTTATGTTTGTTTCTCATCACTATATGTTATGTTTGTTTCTCATCACTACATGTTATGTTTGTTTCTCATCACTACATGTTATGTTTGTGTCTCATCACTACATGTTATGACTCATATATGAACTGACTCATTGTATGTTTCATTGTTCTAGTAATAGTATTGTAACTTCCGAAACTATACCTATTATAGTTTACTAGTAATGTTGTTTGTATGTATGAACATGTTTGTATACCTTTGCTACCCAAAGGTATTAAACTGAATGAAGGAACTTTTATATCTATACACATATACATAATACATAACTAAGATTCAAACGACCTTCGGACAAATAACCGATACCCTAAGTCCACAACCAAACAAGGAACAAGAAGCAAGGTGAGCTATCAGTCCTAAGTCCTTTCAATCCTACTTATATAACTATATCTATATAGATACACATTTGACAAAGTATAAGTTTAAAAGATTTTGAATAGAAAGTATTTAACATGTAAAAGAGTTTGCAAAACAGTTTGAAGTAGTTTGTTTGATAACACAGTTTGAAAAGTAGGAAATCCACTTGTTTGGTAGTTATTAATCACATGTGATTGATATAATAACTATAATAGTTCAACTTGTATTCCCCCCCCCCCATAAAAGCATTTAAAATCATTTAGAAGGTTGATTAAAGGGTATGAACTCACCTGTAGTGAATGGTTTGGATGAACGGATGATATAGGATGCTAAGTGTCAAGTGAAGACTTGAGCACACACACGAATCCTATTTAACATATAATGAAACATATATGTATCCAATTAGTCATTTAACAACTAATTAACCAAGTTAAGACACCCTAGGACATGGAAAACACTTTGATTCAAGTGCTAGAAGTACCAAGGGTTGCATCTAAGGGTTGTATAGCCACTTAAGGGATTTTTCGGTCCAAGTGTTTTTCGGTCCATATGGTTTTCGGTCCAAAGAGGTTTTCGGTCCAAATGGTTGGCCGAAAACTCATGATGTTTGGCACATAAGGTGATTTTCAAGGGCTTTCAAGTATGTAAAGGGGTTCTAAGTTTCATCCAAAGCCTTATGTGAGTTTAAGGTCTTAAAGGCACCTTTCTTTAGGGTTTTCGGTCAAGGGAGATACACTTGACCGAAAACACCTATTGTTCTTGAGAAAATGGATGTTTTCAAGGCCCTAAATCAAGTATCCTTACTAGATAACAAGTATAGGAGATAGATACTTACAATATGGAAGCAAAGAAGGGTGTTTTCGGCCCAAAACACTAGTGTGTGTTCTTGGAGAACACTTGAAGATCTAAGAAAATGGAATGATTTCATGGATGAAATCATGTAAGATCACTAGATAATGGAAGAGATCATCTAAACAAGGAAGGAAACACTTACAATCTTGAACATCTTGACAAAAATTCGGATGATACTTGAGAGAGAATTGTTCTTGACTTGGAAATGGGGAAAAATGACTAAAAATGACTAAGTGTCATTTATATACCCTTTAGGGTTTTCGGCCCTAACACTATTTTGGGCCGAAAACTCCAAACTCTTGGAGTTTTGTGACGTAAATGTTGCACAATTAATCCTAAAGTATACTTCCTCTAATTATCTCTTGAAGTACTAGTCTTTAGAACACTCAAACTGACTCCAAAAAGCTTAAAAATTAGCAGAAATAAATCTGACTTCTATTGAAGTGAATGGTTGTACAAGATAGAAATTTCGGGTTGTCACATCATCCCCCCGTTAGAAGGAATTTTGTCCCGAAATTAGAGTTTAAGTAAATAAGTAGTTACAAATAACTAAGTAAAAAGATGAGGATATTTCAGTTTCATCTGATCCTCTTGCTCCCAAGTGAATTCAGGTCCTCGCTTGGCGTTCCAGCGAACCTTCACTATCGGGATACGGCTTTGTTTTATTTGATTGACCTCCCGGTCCATGATCTCTACAGGTTCTTCCACGAAGTTGAGGCTCTCGTTGATCTCGATCTCGTCGAGTGGGATTACAAGAGTCTCGTCGGACAGACACTTTTTCAAGTTCGAGACGTGGAAAGTAGAATGTATGTTACTGAGTTCGCAGGGTAAGTTAAGTTTGTAAGCTACAGGGCCGATTCTAGCGAGAATCTCGAAAGGCCCTATGTATCTTGGATTTAGCTTTCCACGCTTTCCGAAGCGTATCAAGCCTTTCCAGGGTGAGACCTTCAATAGAACACGGTCGCCCACCTGGAATTCCAACGGTTTCCTTCGTTTATCTGCGTAGCTTTTCTGTCGGTCTCTAGAGGCTTTCAATCGTTCACGAATCTGAACGATCTTCTCTGTCGTTTCCCGAATGATCTCCGGACCCGTGAGAGTGCTGTCAGGAACTCGTCCTTTAGCTAACTGGGTATCACCCACCTCAGCCCAGCACAGAGGGGATCTGCACTTTCGGCCATAGAGGGCCTCGAATGGAGCAGCCTTTATGTTCGTGTGATAACTGTTGTTGTAGGAAAATTCGACAAGGGGCAAATGAGTATCCCATGCTTTCCCAAAGTCAATCACATGGGCTCGCAACATATCTTCCAAGGTTTGGATAGTCCTCTCACTTTGTCCGTCGGTCTGCGGATGATAGGTTGTACTCATGTCCAGCCTAGTTCCTAGGGAACTTTGTAGCGACTGCCAGAACCTTGAAGTGAATCTACTATCTCTGTCCGAGATAATGGATATGGGAACACCATGCAGTCGTACAATCTCCCGTATGTAGGTTCTTGTAAGCTTTTCCATCTTGTCTGTTTCTTTGATAGGCAGGAAGTGTGTGGACTTGGTCAATCTGTCGACGATGACCCAAATGGTATCAAGTCCACCCGTTGTCTTGGGCAACTTGGTTATGAAGTCAATAGTGATCCGCTCCCACTTCCATTCTGGAATCTATGGTTATTGTAGTAGACCTGAAGGTTTCTGGTATTCGACCTTGACCTTGGCGCAAGTAAGGCATTTACTTACGAAGGTAGCAATCTCTGCTTTCATGTTAGGCCACTGGTATAGCTTTTTAAGATCCAGATACATCTTATCTGAACATGGGTGGACGGAATAACGAGTGTTATGCGCCTCGATCATGACCAAGTCTCTGAAACCACCGTGTTTCAGTGTCTAGATACGATCCATGAAATATAAGGCTCCGCCACCTTTGACTTTCAAGTTCTTATCCATCCCTCTCAGGGATTCACTCGCCACATTTTCAGGTTTCAAAGCGTCGAGCTGAGCCTCCTTAATTTGCATGGACAAGTGTGAATAGATAGTCATAGTCAATTATTTG